TCTCGGTGCAGCGAAATAGGTTCCGAGCATTCAACAATCAGCAGCTCTTGCTCTTGGTCGATTGGCCAACTACAGCGAAGATCTAGCAGAAGCTGTGGTTGGCAATGAAATATTACCGCAGCTTGTATATTCACTTTCAGAACAGAATGTAAGTTGTATTGACGAGTTGGATATCAATCTATGACATCGTTGAGCGGTGCACAGCGCTTTGTGAAGAAGGCCGCCTCATTCGTTCTAAGAGCAGTTGCGAAGCACTCGCCGGACCTTGCTCAGGCAGTAGTTGACTCGGGTGCACTGGATGCGTTAGTCCCATGTCTTGAGGAATTCGACCCAACGGTAAAAGAAGCGGCCGCATGGGCAATTGGCTACATAGCGCAACACACCGCGGAACTAGCTCAGGCAGTAGTGGATGCTGGCACAGTCGCTCTACTGGTTCTTTGTATCCAGGAGCCCGAGATTACCCTAAAACGTATATCAGCTTCAGCAATGTCTGATATTTGTAAGCATTCCCCGGAGCTAGCCCAAGCTGTTGTAGATGCTGGTGCTGTTGCGTATCTCGCACCTTTGATTGTACATCCAGACGCCAAGCTCAAGAGACAGGTCTGTAGCTGCCTTGCCCAGATTGCAAAGCACTCCGTGGATCTGGCTGAGGTGGTTGTAGAGGCTGAAATTTTCCCAAATGTATTAAACTGTCTCAAGGATACTGATGCATTTGTTCGCAAAAATGCTGCCACATGCATTCGTGAGGTGGCAAAGCATACCCCAGAGCTAGCAAAGCTAATAGTTAACTCCGGTGGTGCTGCTGCTCTCGTGGACTATGTTTCTGAAGCTCAGGGGAACGCAAAACTTCCGGGAATTATGGCTGTTGGTTATATTGCTGCCTTTTCTGAGACCCTCGCCCTTGCCATAATCGTGTCGAAGGGCGTGGCCCCGCTCAAAGAGGCCCTTGTGACAGAACCTGAGGATCACATAAAGGCGGCCTCTGCATGGAGTCTTGGACAGATAGGTCGACACACGTCAGATCACGCTAGGGCACTTGCCGAAGGTGATGTCTTGCGGCATTTGCTCGCATGTATGGTACATCAAGACAGTTCCGAGGATTTGAAGACGAAGTCAAAGCGGGCACTCAAAGCCATTCTTGCGAAGTGTACGCACCTTCAGGCACTTCAGCCACTGTTACGCGAAGCTCCAGTAAAAGTTCAAAAGTATGTATTGAAGCAATTTGCTTCCATTCTGCCCCATGATGTCGAAGCTCGACGTGCATTCGTGCAAAACGGTGGACTGCAATTTCTCCAAGGTGTGTGCTGCAACTTTACAATCCATCAGGTGATCTTCTCAAGTTTTGTGCAGAATTAAATGAAACTGTGGGTGGGAAACTCACTGAATTCATACAACAAATTAACAATTGTTATCCACCTGAAATTGTGGAGTACTACTCCCCGAACTATTCGAAGCGGCTATTGGAAAAAATTGAAGATTACTCGCCCAATGCATAGCTACAAAGACGATCGTGAACTTGCACGGAACTTGCACGGCCGTTCTCATCGTATTAGCTGGCACCAGTACTGACAAACAACCACCCGGAAGCCAGTGCCCCCCCCTCCCCACCCCCACCCCACCCCCCCCGCCCCCCACACCACCCCGCGGACTGGTACGACGCTGCAGTGCGAAATGCCGCGGCATCACAAGCACCCCACGTCCTTCGCCGTTGCTTTTGCATGCCGGACAATCTACCCATCCACCTACCAAGCTGCTTGCTAGAGTGCGGCACTATCGCCCTCAGAAAGCCAGTCCGGGCGACTCGGAGCAAAATGAAAGTGCGCACAGTGGGGTTTTCGAACTGGCTGGGAGAATCTAAGCTAGTGCAGTCCCCTCTTAAGGACGCTCTAGCACCCACGTAGGTCAGAATCCCAGTGTGCTGCATCCCTCTTGCCCTTCCCAGCCACCGTGGCCTGCCGGTCCCAAAGGGGCCTCGGCATATACGCGCGTATTCGTACGCAGGAGGTCACGGTCTTTGAGGGAGCATATCGTCCCGATATGGTCGAGTTTGAGAGAGCTTGCTGCACTTCCCGAAGCCCACCGGGCAGGACTGGTACAAACTCGCGGGTGGGGAAATTCATTGGTGCGCGCGCGCGCGCCGCCGGCGCAGCTCAATATCAAACTGCGAGCAGGTGACACGCCGTCTGACATCAACCCGTTATGCCTCCTTAGGCAGCTGTACACAATGAACCCAGCCCGCTTCGGAGCCAGCGGGTCCAAGCGGCCCGTGTTCTGCTGAGCCTGCGGTAGGGTCCTGGAGCGTAGCACAGTTAACACAGCACTCAAAGCAGCGGCAGTGGCCCTGGGATTGGATCCTGCTGATCACGCCACCCATTCGCTGCGGGCTGGTGGAGCTACAGCCTTGTATGCCATCGGGTGGCCTCCTTCGAAGATCCAGCGTCGAGGGCGGTGGCTGTCTGATTGTTGGTTCCTCGAGGGAGGATCTTACTTGCTTCCTTTGTCCGTGCGGTGCCCTACGAAGTATGAACAAGCCAGCATTCTGGAGGACGATTGACGACATATGTGATGGCGTTGCGGTGCAACAAGCGAGCGACGGGCGCTTGATGCCCGAATCTGTGAGAGAGCAAAGCGCAACCGCTATTAAACTCTATTGTTCCTTTCACCCCCCGCAAAGCGAAATTGCGGAAGCAGTAGAGAAACTCATGTCGTCAGCATCAAAGTTTTTTGCCTGCGTTGAGCAATCCATTTGATTATGACAACTGAGTTGAGTAGGCGACTATCACGTGATTCAATTTCAGCTCCAAGGCAAGTTTTCAATGACGGTTTGTTAGACACCATTTGCGAAGCAGTTTATGAATTGTGCTGTGCTCGAGGACTGAAGCACGTGGCAAAAGCACTGCCACATGCAGTTCGGGATCTCGAAGCGGTGTACGTAACGCTTACCAGCCTGGATGATCACCTACATGATTCACTCTGGCGCACACGGTACACCCTACTGCTCTGGCTAGGGATGCTGATGTTGAACCCCTTTAACGTAGACTCGATCACGGAGGACGGCGTGTCATTCGTGGCAGGCGTGGTTTTGCATTGCAGCGAGACCTTGAATGATGCAGGACCGCCACGGGACGCAGCAGCCTTTTGTCTATCAGTGACCCTGACTCGACGTGACGTGTGCGCATCGCATCTCAAGTCATTCGTGGACCTGGCTACAAATCTGGTATTTGAGCTGGGCAAGCCAGATAGTAAGCCTATCTTTGCAGCAGCAGGCGCATTGACAGCCCTTGCAGCTGCGTTCAAGCGGGGGGACAGGGTCCGTCTTGCAGCTCTTGCTCGAATTACATTCGAAGGAGTCCGACTTTGCTTTGGTGATTCGAATTCTGCATTTCGACCTTTGAAGCAACTCGCGGTGAAACTCGCTGGGCGTGTCGGAGTGGCTCTGTTGAAACCAAGAATTGCCTCGTGGTGCTATACTAGAGGGAAAAGGACGCTCATGATGTCCGACGTGCCACCACCTTCCATATTGCCTTCAGGCGTTGCGGAGGGTGGGGAATCGAACGTCGAGGTTGAAGCAGAAGATGCCGAGGAGGTGCTTGAAGCCGTCGTCGACGCTTTGCTCGTGGGACTGCGTGAGTGTGAGACGAAGACGAGATGGTCTGCAGCTAAGGGTATAGGGCGGATTGCGTCCAGGCTCCCACGCAGTATCGCAGATGATGTGGTTGAGGGCGTACTTTCTGTGTTCGACGACCAGGGTTCACATGATGACGACAATGCCTGGCACGGATCTTGTCTCGCCCTTGCAGAACTTTCGCGGCTTGGTGTCTTGCTCCCATCCAGGCTCTCTGCCGCATTCTCTGCGCTATCAGCGGCACTCAAGTATGACCGGCAACGGGGGAACCACAGCATCGGGGCCAACGTCAGGGATGCGGCGTGCTATGTAGCCTGGGCATTCGCGCGTGCCTATGCACCTCAGATCATTTCACCCCATCTACCGGCGCTTGTTGATAGGATTCTTACCGTTGCCGTGTACGATCGCGAGGTCCACGTGCGGCGAGCTGCCGGCGCAGCCCTCCAGGAAAATGTTGGAAGACAAGGCATGAAAATGTATGGCTCTGGGGGAATCAAATTAATACAAGTGGCAGACTTTTTGGCGCTAGGCAACAGAGAACGAGCCTATTTGGATGTCGCCTCGTCGGTGGCAAAGCTCGGGTTTTGGCAGCCGCTCTTTGACCATCTTCTTGAAGACCGATATCGACACTGGGATCCTCAAGTGCGGGCTCTGACAGCAAGGAGTTTAGGTGAGCTCGTCAGACTTCTAGAGCATCCACCAAGTCGACTGGACGCTGCACGTACAGTCGTCACCACGCTTGCCCCGCTTGCGGCCGGGAGTCGAGAACTCGCTGCTCGGCACGGCGCTCTCCTCGCACTCGCGGAGGTTGCCGCCTTCGTCCTCAAGGACGAAGCCGTCGTGTCCGAACTTTCCGATATTGTTCCTAGGATCGAAGCTGCGCGTCTCTACCGTGGTCGCGGCGGCGAACTCGTGCGCTCTGCCGCCTGTGCGTTGATCGAATCCCTTGCTTTGAACCGCACTCCTCTCCCGATCAAGGTCCAGCTGCGTCTCCTTGATACCTTGGATGAATCCAGTAGTCATGCTGTCGAGGCGGTGCGACTTGCGGCGATGAAAGGCGTGAAGGCTTTGACATGGACTTATTTTGGTGGTTTTCACAACTTCGCAAAGACAATGACGAAACCTAGTGAACGACTCTTGGCGCGTACTGTCCTTCGATATACGGGCCTAGCGCGCAAGCCAACAACTCCGGATGTATCGCGTGGTGCTTGTCGCTGTCTCGGGGCTTTACCTGTGCGTTTGCTTGCTGCGGATGACGCAACACTCGATGCGGTTCTACAAATTCTGATTTTTCGAGCACGACGTGATGACACAGTCGCCGGTGAAAAGGACGCAGAAACGAGACGCGATGCTCTTGCAGCCTTGAAAGACCTAATTCGAACCGTAGGGGCGCCTTACCTGACCCGAATTCGAGTTCTGCAGCTCCACAACTGCTTCGTTACCAACGCATGTAGTGATTTCAGTGTAGATAAGCGCGGAGACGTGGGTTCTTGGTCCAGGATCAAGGGCCTAGAGGCAGCCACTGAACTGGTGTCAGTTCTGACGGTATTTTCGGATGATGCAGACTCAATAGGAAGCACCATTCCAGCTCTTGGCGAGCGCACAGCGTGGCTCTCGAGTTCGGATAGCTTGTCCTTTTTAGTTGCAGAAACCCCCTTCATGGGCTTCGACTCTAGAGCTAGATGGACTGCAGTCGAGTCGGAACAATTTTGCTGTGCTCTTCTGAGGCATCTTGGCGAGAAGCTTGACGCCGTCCGAAATGTCGCACTGAGGCTTATGCCAATCCTTCTGAAAGTTGCACCAGCAATCCCCAAACGCTCGGAAATTGACGACGCACTCTCACTAGGTAGAATGGCTACAATAGACCTGCCGACGCGCCTCTGCACATGCCTGGCGCTTGGCGGCGCCTACCATGATGCGGTCTTTGGGGGTCTGTTTGTCTCTGCCGGGTCAAGCGACTCTCAGTCTGGTGAACGGTACAAGGCTGCGCTGATCAACTACGCCGTTGCTGCTACAAAGGTGAAAGATATTTCGGATACGACACGTCTCGCAAATGCTCTCATTTCATGCGCTTATTCTCTCCGTGGATCCAAACCGCCAAAGTTATCAGATGAAGTCTATTTTAAAGGGTTCAATGCAGAGGAGCGGAGCCGAAGCTTCGTTCCTCTCATGAAATGTCTTACAGCGCTCCTTGATGGAGGGGCCTTTTTACCCCTCTTGACAGCAGATGGGTCTCGCAAACTAAAGAGTTCAGGCTCTGTTTTATCAATATCGGAAGCTATCGCTGCAAATTGCATCGGACCTGACGAAGACGAAGCCTTTGCACGCAACCTCGTCTCTGCCCTCACGGCCATTGCTGCCACTCCTCGCTGTACCAGGGACGTCCGCAAGATTTGCGTCGCTGCTGATGCACTCTTGGCTGCGCTCAACGCTGCTGCCGTTAATGCGCCAACTGCTGCTGGTTTGGCCTTGGCCGCCATTACGCGCAGCCTCCTTTCGCCTTATCCCCGAGCACGCGCGCATATTGCAGAGCAATTTTACGCAACCCTCGTAGAACTGACCATCGTGGATGGCTGCTTTCTTGCCCCTAGGTCTCTGGCAGCAGCACAGGAGTTGCTCGAGACTGTCACCTGGGAAACCGAGGAATGCAGTGATGCAATTTATGGTACTGTCTTGAACTTGGCCGGCACACTTGGAATCGAACCCAAAGATATACAATCTCGGTGCATTGCTAAATCGATGCTCAAGCCGAAAGATGAGCTTGAATCTTATGCCCACCTCGTGAAAGATGCCGGATATTAAGTCCTAGCTTGGACTAGCCTCAAAGGTACCCACCGCCTCATTTCCACCACAGCAGGGACGACTACTTTATGAATTGGATTCGAACTTGGCTACCTTCTGTATGTTTCCGTGCACTTGGCCTCTCGCAACTCCCACTAGTGCCTCGCGGCGGCTGGCGCAGGAGTTATAAGTCCCAACTAAACCTACTGTGCGCTTCAGTTGCAACGGATCAATCACCGGAGAAGCTGCTCCATCAGTTCTGCTGACTCCTCGTGAAGCCCTGAAGCCCACACACTGCGTTGCGGCGGCTTCTGGCGGCTTCTGGCGGCCACAAATAACTTCAACATAGGGTTGGGCAGGGCGCGTTTAGCCACTTATATTACAGTGCAGATATCTAGCCTCCATACTCACCTCGCATCTCCAAGCCCGCGGGAGATTCGGCGCTTTCTAGTTTGGACCCCGCCCGCCCCCCGGGCGCCTGAGTAAAGCCCCCAGCCGCCGACCCAAAATTGCCGGGGGCGTTTCGGGTTGCTTGGGGTCCCGTCCGGCGCAGGGGGGGTTTCTGGGCGAGGTTCTGCCAGCCCGCGGGAAACTCGACGCGTTCTAGTTTGGGCCCCGCCCGGCCCCCCAGCGCCTGAGTAAAGCCCCCGGCTGCCGACCCAAAATTATTGGGGGCGTTTCGGGTCCCTTGGGGTCCCCTCCAGCGCAGGGGGGTTCTGGGCGGGGTTCTGCCGCCTGCGGCGGCCGCGGAGCCTCGGGGCCTACTAGAACGAACTAGAACGGTTCTAGTTCCAGTATAGGGCTCCGGGTGATGGGAGTTTCTAGCCACGATGCGA